GAAGAGAATATAAATATTAAAACATTTTTCCTTATTTGTTATAGGAAATGACATTCCACTTTCACACACACACACACACACACACACACACACACAGATGTAGACGTTCTGAAGTGCGACACAGTGTTAAAGAACTACAGCTATTAATATGATAACAGGGAAAAACTGTGGGAGGGAGAAAACACACATTCACTTTTTGTATTTTTTTTCCCCAGCAGAGTACACATGGAATGACAAACAGGGTTTGTTAAACAAACCAAAAAAAATAAAATAAAATCAGATTCAAATAGCATTTAAATAATTCCTCATCCAGAGACTGGTTTTCTCTGCATTTTTTCTTTTAAATTGTTCAACAACCGTTAGAAAAGACTGTGTTGAGGAGTTGAGTTGTGGTGCTGCAGCTGATCGTCAGCTGATCGTCAGCTGATCGTCTGTGGACCAGCGCGTCCTTCCTCCATCAACACCATGTGGAGGTTGTTCACGGCTCCTGATGTGAAGATCAAGTCAAAGGTCCTGATGTTCAGTTAGAGTCAACCTGCTGCTGACGCCTGGTTTTTTTACATTTCTTTTTCTTTTTTTTATAGAACATAATTTATAAATGTCATTTAAAACATATTCAGTAAATAAACACAAATAAATACTTTTAAATTAGAATAAATAACATGGAGAAAAAAAGCCATATTTTTACCTTGTAGAAAAAACTAATTAAAAGTTTTTTAATTAATCTTTTTTAAATCAATCTTGACTAACTCAGCCTTCTGATTTTTTTTTTCACTTCCACAGCTGCCAGGTTCATCAGCTGTTTTTTTTTTTTTTTTTTCCGTGGTGTCGAGCGCTGGTGTTTACTGTACCAGACGTATGGAGTGCAGCAGGGAAAAAAAAGTCTCCTCCAAATTGCTGCGATCATGTTAACTCTCGGCAGTGTCACTGAGCGGGCAGATTGTGTTCACTTTGGTGTCTAAAGCCAATGGGGTTTTGCTGAAGCGTGGCAGATTTAAAAAAGAGCTGACAGAGACAGTCAGCCCAGATACGCCAGCCTTATAAGCAGGCAGGTGATATTTTTCACAGATTTAGGACACACACAACTCAACACATTTAATTGGTTTGACTTCCCGTCCGTCTTATGAAACTTCAAACCCGCTGGGCTGCTGCGGAACCAGAAAGTTAGCCAACAAACTTTTTTGTGCTCATCCAGAAATCACACTCAGCACTCGTAAAAAGATTGCAGTGATATTCTTCTCTGCCGTTCGCCCTCAGCACCGTCTCACTGACTGTTTCAGATCAGATTGGGTGGTTTAGTGGAAACAAACAGAGGCCATTCTCACAGCCGCCAGCAGGGCGGCGTGTACTTCAGCTGTAATTTTCTTAGTTTGTTTCACTGTTGATGGGCATCATGGCTTAGAAACGTTTTGGGGCATGAGACCAGAAAGTTAGCCAACAAACGGTGGAAGGTGGTGACCCAGTTAAGGTGGATTAGATTTGGTTGCTAATGCAGAAAATAGATATTTACTACCATCCATCTGTCCATCCCTGAGCAGTAACTTTACTAAATGAAAGTTACCAAAAAAAAAAACAGAGAAAAACTTCATAAGAAACTTCAAAAAGACCATTAGATGGAGCCTGGACTTGAACGGCGTCTCATCCTGCTGCAGGGCAACGGCGCTAACAACCAGCCGTTCCGCTGTGTCTGGATGTGTATGGACATTTATGATCGTTGCAGAATACACCAGTAGATCCAGTCTTCATCAGCAGATGTCTGGGAGATTTTCTCTGCTTCATTCTTACCTCAATTTACCAGTTTAGCACAAACATTAGCACAGACAAACGCATGGGTCAAAGAATCCCTGAGGACGTCGCACTTCCTTAAATTCAGTCTTCATCAGCAGTCTTCATCAGCAGATGTCTGGGAGATTTTCTCCGCTTCATTCTTACCTCATTTTACCTCAAAGAATCCCTGAGGACGTCGCACTTCCTTAAATTAGTTCTAATATGTTCTGTGTTCTGTGTTCTGTGTTCTATGTTCTGTGTTCTGTGTTCTATGTTCTGTGTTCTGTTGAGAGCTGCTGCTTCATAATGAACAGTTGTAGCAGAGTCAGGAGGAGTCTGAGCTGAAGTGACCCACATACTGGACCGGTTCAGTACATGAAGTTCTCAGGACTCTGGTTGGAAATTGTGCCTTACAGCTCATTGACAGAAACTCTTTCCAATGTCAACAGCAGACATCCCAAGGCTCCCAGAAGATCTCCGAGTCTTCTGCTTATTGACAGCGGCGCCATGATGTCTGTGAATTAATTAAATATCCCAGAATCCACAGCCACTGTCACAACCGATGGTCTTTCTGTATCGAGTTGGCAGTTTTCCCCCCGTGTGCGCTCTTTTTGTTTTCTCTTAGTCTAAAAACCTGAAAGTTTAGGGATTATTTGGACACTAGTGAACTGTCCAGGGGTGAATTAATTTTAAGACCCTCATATCACCTGATAAAGCTCCTTCCTGCCCTGCTGCGTCCCACTAATTAGGTTGACTTTTATCCAGTAAACCCTGTAGAAGCCTCCGGTGTTTTAGTCAAAGTCTGCTCATTAAACTGGAGATTTAAAGAAAAACTCACTGTAGAGCATTTTTTCAGCGGCTATTCGGCTGCTTCATAAATGATTTTTAGGATGTTACTGTTGAATGATCACGATTAATTATGACTGTAAATAATCGAGATATTTATTTCTGTATTTGGCTGGAAAAGAAAGAGAAAATAACAGCAGGCAGGTGTCTGTGTTTCACGTCTCTTTTTATTTGTTACCTCATCAAATATTAACGTGTAAAATGCAGTCAAGAAATTGTGCGAAAGTCAAATTTTCTCCATAGGAAATCTCTCTGTGTTAAAGTCATCGGTTGATTTACCAGAGAACATTTTTATTTTATTTTATTCTGGAGGAAGATCCCTGGCCACGGTCGACACGCTGCTCAGACCTTTTAATTAATGCCATCGATCATCAGAGCGAAGTAAACGACGCACTGCTCTCCTCCTCAGGTATCTGACCGTATCTCTGTGCTCAGTCACTGGGCAGCAGCACAAAAACACATACGTCTTAATCAGCCTGAGTTAATTGGTGAGCAACGACCGCCTGCCAACCTGCAGCTCCCCGGCCTAAATGCTAGGCTTCAAGCAACGGTTGCTGATGCGTGTGATAGCTGCCGGCTAATTGCTATAGTTTTCTATCTTGACATGTGATCGACCTCGGTGTCGGTTTATGAGTCACGTGACTGTGTTGTTGGAATTAAACCTGCCCTGAATCACTGATGGTCTCTGCAGGAGAGACGGTCTGCAGACTGATGTAAAAAGAGTTCTGACCCGAGGTGATACCAACATGTCGCCAATAGGTGCGAAAACCTCGAGTGTCTGTTGTAGTCGTCCTACTTTGGTAAATGTGACCACACATAATGACGTCTTGTACGACCGTGTCTGTGTTTCAGACGTTAATGTCAGACATTATAGGAGAATGAATCGTGGAATGGCCGGCGTGTTTGGCCACATGCTCCGGGGTCTGTGCCTTCGAGGAGGAGCTCTGTCATTGTTGGAGCTGAATGGATATAAATTGGTGCTCAGCGTTGACGACTAATGGGCGGAACAGCTGCTAAGAGCTAATTACAGATTCTTGCCGACCTATTTTATGAATTTTAGAAGAGACAGAATGCTTTCATCAGCTGGAGTCTGCGGTGCTTCTATTGGGAGACAAAAGATTTATTCTGGGGTTTCACCGAAGTGGAGATTCTCTCTATCATTATTGTAATAATCCTGATTTTCATGGTAACCATGAGGATAAATAATATATAAAAAAATTGCAGAGTGAAAATGTTTGGCTCATTTGAACATATTAAATGAAGACAAATCATTTGTCCCTCAACGGGCGCCGCAGCAGTGATGTGGCCCACTTTACACGTCGCGTGGCCTTGCTCGTGCAGCCCAACATGGGATTAGCAACTATTTGAAAAAACTGGAAAAGTTGGACAAAAATTTTAGGAAATTAGGTTAAAATACAAGCCTACTTTTTTTTTTTTTTTAAAGATACCTGATAAAGTGAGTAAATAGGACAAGCATTAAGTATCAGCTGAAGTGTGCAGTATAATTCAAATGTAAGTATCAGCTGAAGTGTGCAGTATAATAGTATTTATTCAAATTACTTTATATAAATTATGTATTTAATTTTCTGTTATTTTCTGTCACAATATGAATTCATTAACATGAGAATATGAATTGTTCTGGTTTTTATTCATTCATATTAAATCATTGATTCCGTTGTTTTCTTACCAGTCAGTTCATATTTATTTACAGTATGAAGTAAATGTAAAGTAGTATGTTTTATTTATTTTATAAAAAAGAAAGTTTGTCCTGTTCACTCTTTATTTCAGTCTTATTCCTGTTTAAAGGCTGAAAAACAAATGATTTTTTTAAATGTGAATTTGAATTTTATATCACCTTTTCATACAAACAAATCTCAGTACTTTTTACTACAAACTACACTCTCAATATTCTTTAACCGGATTATAAAATGTTATTAAAAGCAATTCCTAATTAAAGCACTTCATAATTAAACTTTTTAATGTTAAGAAAATACTTTTAACAGTAGAGTATTTACAAAATACTTTACATACAGTAGGTCAATGTAATATTTGAAATGTAGATTTATAATTGATTATATATAAAAATAAAGATTGTTTACAGGCATAAGTTACAGACACCATCAATGAGTCTCAACTATATATATATATTTTTATTTTATTTTTTTTATCATGTAGTGGAATAAGAGCAGCTTCAAGGACACTGGGAGGAGACAGCTGGATGACTGATGTCCATGTTTGTTTGGTTAGATTTCAGGGGTTTTTTTTCTCCTCACTGACCAAATGGCACATGTTCAGCTTCTTCTCCCTAAACTGCATGCCTAAATATGTCTTTTCCCACTTGCAGTTAAAAATAAAGTTGATCCCCCTGAATGTATTCATGATTTCAGGGAGTTCAGCCACTGGAAGTTGAACAGCTTGGCCACCGAGAAGAGAGACTTCCTCAAAGCCCCGTTGCCCTTAGCACCAGAGTTCCTGCGCAACCTACGGTTACTGGGGCGACGGCCGACCCTGCAGCAAATCCACGAGAACCTCATCAAGAAGTATGGCACCCACTTCCTGGTGTCTGCTACTCTGGGAGGTAAGAAAAGTCTGCAGGTGACACACTCACCTCAAATCTCACACTGGGAAGTTTGAGAGAAAAACCAAAAATAGCAGAGCTGCTCATTTTCAGCCTCAAGGAGGTTATATCCTGTGTGAGCAGAGGAGGGAATCATTTACTGTGTATTTCACCTTCATGCAAAAATGTGATAAGTGACAATTGTAATAAAAAAAAAATATATATATATTTATATATATGTTCTGCACCTCCAATAGTCATGACTGGTATTTTCCTCCCTTGTGTAGCCGGCTGGAGTGCAGAGAGTCAAAAAGAAAAATATGAATCAAAATCCTTTAATTCAACCCTTTTACTGCCTTTGTTAATCATTTACTGGTTCATCCACAGTGAGAGGACAATCAAAATCCTTTAATTCAACCCTTTTTACTGCCTTCGTTAATCATTTACTGGTTCATCCAGAGTGAGACTGACTACAGGATACATTGAAATTCAAAGGTTCTGTGTGTGTCACAGTGTGAATTTGCAAAATTAATTCGTGACATGACCTGAAGCTTCTTGAAGTCAAATGTAAATTGATCTTTAACCTGCGTTGATTGTCATAAACAGAGACGGTAAGTTGGACAAATCTGTTACACATTCTTCAGACACTTCAGATTTGAAGTAGTCAAACGGTAGAAGACGTCAAAATGACAATATTTGTTTTCATTTTAACGAAACCTCATGAAATGAAACTAAATTAAATCGGTCGGAACTTCAAGGAGACAATAGTCTGAGAAGTCAATCAAAAGAAACTGAATAACATTTTTTAAGATTTTTTTTATTATTATTTTCCTGCATTTGACCAGCTGAGCTGGATTTATGGGAATGTGGTTTGGAAAACTGCCTGATTTCTAAGTGAAGACTTATCTAAATTACTGCTCTCAAAATCTGGAGAATTCTCTTTTAACAGCAGGTAAATTTTGTCCCAGTTGTTTCCCCGAGGATTGCGATTGTAAATACCCAAACAGTGACAGCTGTCGGACGATGCTTGTGTTGAAATTGGATTTTGAGGCTTTAATTGAACAGACAATCATTTGAAACAAAACTCTTCTGTGTTGGTGAGTGTGTAGCTTCACTCAGAAGTGCTGCCAGCTTCTCCACGTTTTGGTTAAACACAGTCGAAAGTGAGCAAATACTGTGTCCTCTTGTATCTGCTGCCGTGTTCCCACTTATCGCCGGCTGCTTACGTTGTCGTCTTCAGTGTGGGAGACAAAGCAGCGGCCGGTGCGTCTGCAGACTTAAAACGTAGACTGAATGTAATTAACAGCCTCCAGTAAATGGGCTCAGCCACTCTGCAAACTGAAACTGCAAAAAAAAAAAAACTCTACACGTCTCTTCTTCTGTGGTTTTAATGACTTTCTCTGGTTCAGTTTAACCCTTTTTATATTTGTTAGCAAAGTAATAATTCAACTTTTTCACTCCAACGTGAACCACCTCCACAGTGAAACATGTAAGTCTGTTAATTGTGAGTTGGTTTTTAGTAATTGGACCCTTGGGTTAACTCTCTGCTTGTTTTGCTTGTGTAAATTCCTTATCTTTTGAGGCACTGTCTTCATTTAGATTGTAGGAGATTAATCATCACAATTAAGGAAGATGATTTTCTAAAAGAAATGTGACTAATGAATTCTGTCATAAATTAGGCTCTGAAGGGAGAAACGAGCAGGGAAGGAGAACTGGGAGAAAATTACAATCAGAAATAACCACGCAGTCTGTGGCTGTCGACTGAACGGACGTTTGATCCTTTCTTTGTTTTTTATTTTTATGACAGATATAACAGGTTTTCTTCAGGTACATTTCAGAATGAGTTTAATTGTTCAGTTTATATTGATGGTACATACGAGCCGGAGCATTAACACTTGTCTCTGGGATTCAAACCTCAGTGACCCCCGAAAAAGATTAAACAGCAGGAGATGAATGAAGGAAAACTTTTCTGAAAAGCAACAACTCCTGTAATACTGACCCCCCCCCCACAACCTCCCCCCAACCCCCAACAACAGCATCTTTTCTTTTTTTTCCAATTGACAATTTTATTTTTGGTATTTGTTCTGGAGGTTGGTACTTTATTACACTGCACCCTGTACTGTAATATTTCACATGTATTTCTCTCTAGTCCCTTTAATAAAAATGGGATTTTCTAGAGACTGTCAGGAAGATAAAACCCAGTGGATACTTGTGTGTTATTGAGCTTCTCTGCAGTAAAACCATGAACAGCAGCACAGACGGGACACTGACGCCGCTGCAGAACAGACGCCTCTGTTAAAGCAGCAGGAACACATTACTGTAAAAGTGTTTGTTGGCATGAACTTTACAGGACTGTGAACTATGATGCATTCAACCATGTTACCACAACAAACGGAAGATGATTAATGCTGGCCTTTACGTGGATAAAATAAGAAACACAAAGGCAAGTTATAAACGAGCGGGAAGTGGAAAAGTTTGAAGACGGTTTTGGGAGGGCGTCTAATGCCTCACAGCTATTATATATCCATTAAAGACTAAAGACCTCTGAAAAAACTGTGATTTCATTAGAGAATACTTCGTCCTTTATTTAAAAAAAAAATACTGTATATAAGTATATTTATATATACATATATACGGTATACATATATACATATTTAGACACAGATGTATAGATTTATGTGTATACACACATACACATTCATATACCATTTATATATGTATAAATAAATATATAAATATATGTATATATGTATATATATGAATACAATTGTTAATTCTCCGTCACCTGTACTGTACCAGACATAAAGACACGTAGACGGTGACAGGTGCAGTAACTGGTTCCGTTGTTGGTTCCACAGGTGAAGAATCCTTGACCATCTTCCTGGACAAGCAGAAGTTGAATAAGAAGTCCGAAGGCAGCAGCAACAGCTCGGTGGTGTCTCTGGAGCTGCTCCATCAGTTGGCAGCTTCGTACTTCACCGATCGGGAGAGCACCCTCCGGCGTCTGCACCACCTACAAATTGCCACCTCTGCAATCAAGGTACGGCTGTGTGCAGAGAAAATGTCTGATTCAGTGGAGAGCACAGAAACACGGTGTTTATTTGTCACGACTGGATACTGTGTGTTTGCTGCCAGTGACACACACACACACACACACACACACACACACACCCACCCCCC